TATGGGAGGAACGAGGGATAAGAAAATGACGCATAGAGGAGTGCGGGTCAGTATGGCTGTGCAGTAAAGTTTGCGGACCTGCCCTGAGTGAGCACATGCAGTTTGGTGGCTGTCGGGCAAAGAAATAATTGGGCTTATGTGGGGGCAGAAATGAATAGGAGTTTATGGGACAAACGAGGGATGAGAAAAAATAGACAAACAGATGAGTGCAGGTCAGAACAACATTGAATTCGTGCTCGGTGGCCTGCCCTAAGATTGTGTATGCAAAACGGTGTCTTTCGGTCGAGCAGAAGTACAGTAGATGGACATGCAGTTTTTCACCCCATTAATTCCTATGGGAAAAAAAATCGTAATTTAACGAAGATTGTACGGAAACCGTTCGTCATATCAAAAAGCTGTATACAAGCACACCATTTCCAATCAGACCGAACATTCTGGAATTGGAACTGTGTCGATATATCGGAAACTGCAGGACGATTTAACAGACAAAAATTTGACAGAAAAAGAAGAAGAAGATAAATCGGATAACAGTCGTGTTGTACAATGCTTTGCAATGTGCAATCACTAGTTAAGACAAAGAGTGGACACACTGCTTTTGTTGTTCTGTTGTATTTAGTTGTGCAGTCTTCTGAGTAATTTTCTATTGAATATATGTTTTTGTTTTTTCTATTGATGCTGAAAATGTAATAAAACTTGTATTTAATGTCCGTTTTGACTGGAAATTAAACAAATGAAGGGTGGTCTCTGACTTACGCACAGTACTATACTTACAATAAATTGGCAGAAAAGTAAAAGTGCAGTGTGTAGTGGTTTAGCAGATCTTCATATAGGTCAGGGCACACCATCAATTTATAGTAATGACATAAAATGTATGTTTGGATGGTTATGGCATAGAGATCAGATCGTCACTGCATGTGCATTAACTGATATCCAGCAGCAGGTAAAGTTAGCATACAGGATTATATGCAGCATGATATGCTTATCTGTGTATGAGTACTGTTGTGTCGAGAACCATGCTCGTACGTCTTCCCAAGGTTAGGTCATGCTGTGTTGACTTCATCAGATAAGATAATGGTCTCTGAAGGTGACAGAAAGTCCAGTCTCTTGCAAAGTAGTCACAGAGACAACACTGTAGTAATCCTAAGGGGTGTAGTGGGGCTTCACACAAACAGTTGTAGACTTCGGAATGAGGCGGGATTTTTATTAGGCTGATTAGGCAGGTAAAAACCCATTAAGCAGAGGCAGATTCATATTTGAACTGTCATCTGAAATGTTATGTGATTATCCGAGGAGCATTTCACTGATACATCAGTTTATTATTCACCAGTGATATTCATATTTTGTTAATAGTTTTCAAATTGTGTTAATTCACTTTTATTCGCTCTAATTTGCTTGCATATCTAATTTTCTTAAAGTGTAAGCGTCAACACAATCAGTGACGGGCCTGTCAGAATTGCAAGCCTTGAACATCCTTCCTCTTTTATATTTGCATTGTAAATGTGTTAGCTAATTGTTATTACCCCATTTGGCATCATATTTTACAGGTGGAATTCATTTTTGTGTGTCACACATATTAATGCACTACCTCAGCTAAAATCAGCTACGTGCTCTAAAGACATTCATGAATCAAGACTTCAAAGTGCTAAAAGTACACTCTCTGCAATCTTTAATTTATGCCATCTGAATAGTTGAGCTCTCTAGGGCTGTTAATATACAGTCGTATGCAAAAGTTCACCCCTGATCAAATTACATGTTTTGTTGATTTTTTAACTGAAAATAAGTGAACATGTCCTGTGCTAAATTTAACATAATGGGAAAAAATAAAACATAAAATGTGGCCTGTGCAAATTTGTGACAGATTTTATATTTTATATTTTATTTCTTTCTGATTTGTGAAACGAAAATAGAAATTGTGCACTAAAATAAAAAAAGCCATGTTTTATTTATTTCATTTATTTTCACAGCCAACAAAACATGTCATTTGAATAGAAAAAATGTTTGCATCCAACTCTCCACAGCTACACTCTAGCCCAATTAGCATTAGCCTAGACTGGGCATTTGTGGCCTTATACAAGCTGAAAATGTATGGATGGTCTGCTGGATATCTTCTGTCCCCTTACTCCATTCTGCACTCTTAAAAAATGCAGGTGCTCTTTTTAAATTTTTACTTAATTTTCATCCCCAATTTAGTCATCTTCACTTTCGCCTGCTACCTCAGATTTTCCCTATTGCACAGTGCTACCAAGCTGGGAGGGTGACGGCTAGCACATGCTCCCTCTTTGTCACATGAAGCGCCACCACATCTTTTCAAACTGCTGCTAATGCAACGTCATCAAACAGCTCAGCACGCTTGGAGGGGATCATTAACTGCCAGTTCTATTTTGCCAGCTAATAGACGCCCACGTTGACTAGCGGCGTGCATCATGCCTGCCCAGAGAGAGCGAGGATAATTATGCTGCCCTGGGCTTCCAGCTGTCGATGGCTGCGTCACCAGCAGTCACACCGACGCTAGGACCAACACTGGGATTTCAGGGTCAAAAAGGGTGTTTTGGAGCAATTATATAGAAAAAACACTTTTGGTTCCCTAAAGAACCTTCAGTAGATGATTCTTACGTTTTGTATAACTAATAAGATGTGTAAGTGTGAAGATCTCTTTTTTAAAGTTTAAGAAACTTCCACATAATGTAAAGTGTTCTTCTTAGAACTGTGCATCCAAGCCAAGAACTGTTTAGGATTCTTTATTTTAAAGAGTATCTGGCCTACATTGGACAGTGCCTACAGGAGACTTGTAGATAAATCAACAAGCAGCAAACTAACAAAGGGGAAAGCTCCAGTTTTCCTGAAGAGCCTCCTCTGTAACAAGAAACCATAAGATGTACTAACGAGAGCAAGTTGGAACCATTGGCTGTATGTCTGAAATAAATAATGTATACAGTCACTTGGTGGAACATACATTCTGATGAAGCTTACTTTATCAACTCATTTTGCAATAATGACATGCTCTGCTTTTTAAAGGAAAGAAATCTTTCTTTAAGGTCAGATTTCAGCAAACAAAAGGCAAATGCGATAAATCATGATTAATCCTTATCATTTTCTTTTTTTCAGGCTACTTTTGGCAATAATAATGTTGCTATGTGGAAATGATGTTTGAATCCAGTATATTCAATGCATCACTTTATTCAGTGCAGCCACTCTGCAGGGTGTGTTGTGGTGAAGACAGCAGCTTCCTCCTATCGATCGCTTCAGCATTCAGATTTATGGGCTCTAGCACTGTGGCTGTCTGCGCGGGCCAGACAATGACTGCCCCATTACCATAACAGGGAAATGAATACTGTCCAATATCTCAGGCCTCCATGGTTTTCTTTGAAAGGCGTCAAACCCTCATGGGAATCATTCTCATTTCAGACGTAGGTCTATAAGGAGTTTGTCTTGTACAGGACCTAAAGTTGCAGAGGGATGATCTATGATAGTATCTGTGTGAGTTTACTCCTTAGATTGTTGGGTCATCCATATTCAATTGGCCTGCCTTCAGATATTAGCACTAATTTATCACTGATAACGGCAACACTGAGAACATAAATAAGATGGAATGAAACTACAGCTACACTAAACTTAGCTACACTAAAATCTAAAAATAGTGCTGTTTTGTGCTCCTGCTGGCAGTTACTGATGAGTTAGCAGTAAGCTGAATTAATGTCACACATGACTGTGACTAGGCAGAGTCATCTCCTTTCATTTTGGCCCATTTACTGAAGTTCTTCGCTTTGTCATATTCTATTTTTAGGCTGTTTTGTTTTTTTCTATGCCTTTTTTGAGAAAATAAATATTCAGAACTCCTCTTGAATAGCTTTGGTAATGATTATTGTTACAGCTAAACCTAATTTGCATGTACGGTACCAGTCAAAAGTTTAGAAAAACGTATAGATCCCCACCCCATTCCCCACCTGGCCTTGATGACATTATTGCCATTCTCTCAAAAAGCTTCATAAAGACCCCCTGAGATGCTTTTCTTAAAATATATCTTGGATATAAACTCATACATGGGCATTGTCATTATTTATATTTGTATTCTAAAAATTTATAGACTGAAGTCTTTAGGTCTTTCAGCTGAGGATAATCACAACTTAGCAAATTCTTTTCTCTCCCAGGTGAGGATGAAGTCACCAAGCACTGTTACATGACCAGTAGAATGGAAACTGTAACTTGAACTAGAGTGGTATGTTATGTGGCTTTTGTTAAAATTATTACTTTATAAAGAGTTCACTAAGGTGACATGGGCTAGATAGCAAGCTGGCACTGACATTATTAGCATTTATGCTAGCCTCCACAAAATGAGTGGTAACATTTTATAACAGGTCGCCATAAAGAGCAACTTAATCATTATCTAACAGTTTGTTAATGATAATAAGTGTGTAATTGTTACTTGTGCATTAAGAAGTGCTACCATTTGTTCTGTGCTCATATTTTCGCACACAAACGGGTAAATTTAAGATTTTTACACATGATTTTGTGTTTATATATATATATATATATATATATATATATATATATATATATAGATATATATATATGTATATGTATGTGTGTGTGTGTGTGTGTGTGTGTGTGTGTGTGTGTATTTGACCAAAAAGACAATTGAATTGTCCAGTTATTCAGTTATTATGACAGTTTTCAAGCAGGTGAAAAATTAACTAGAACTGTATTCCTGTTGGTTCCTTTTCGGGTCAGTTTTTGAATGTGCAGTGGGGGGAAAAACACTCTGGTTATAATAGCCTTGTTATGCCAAAATTCTGTCCTTGCATAACCGTTGATCTGTTCTGACTTTGCCCTGCCTCCCTCTTACCCCTCTGTCCTTCGCTTTCATTCTCCTCGCTCCATCATTGTCTGTCTATTTTGTTCTCATTCATTGTCTTGCCATTGCATCCTCTGCTTAGAACTAGTCAACCAGTTCTGTGAGCAGGTCCTGAATTTTTTGCTTTGTCCCTACTCTCCTGCCGTAGCCCCGTCCTCCCCCGGTGTTGACTCCGTACCCTTGCAGCGAACAGGAAGTCAGAATGCCACTGGGACGTACCCGCGGGGCGGCTACACGTCCGGCCCAGCCGCCAACTACGCTGACCCCTACCGGACCCTGCAGTACTGCTCTTCCGTGGAGTCTCCCTACAGCAAGTCCGGCCCTGCCCTGCCTCCAGAGGGCAACCTGGCCCGTTCTCCCTCCATTGACAGCATCCAGAAGGACCCCAGGTGAGTCTGCAGTTACAGTTGCTTTTCCGCTGTAGGAGTCTCAGCCACAGAAACTCCACCCCCACGCTTATGAGGTACACTGAAGCGGCCACATCTGTCAGAATCTTGTCAATTACGTTGACAGTGACTGGATATCTGCCATGGGTACTCATTTCTGTGCACTGGTTGTTTTCAGTCCAGTAGGAAATGGAATGCTAGCTAATAACTAGTTGTAAGCAGTTGCCTTGTCTGTCGTAACAGCACTGAGCTTTTTGGGGAATTGAAAAAAGTTACTTTTCCCAGCATTCTGCCTTTAAAACGTCTTTAAAGTAGTTATAAAGTACATGAGTTCTGATTGTTCTGTTTTTGATTTAACTCCATTTTGACAACATGCTAAAACAATCTGGTCGGTCAGTTCTCTTGCCAGTGAAATGGTCACTTGCTTCCAAAGTATGTGATTTTTGTCAATGTTGAGCAACAAAACCTTCGCTCTCTAGCCACAAATGTTACATGTGAGATTGTAGGGCCAAACGGTTACCACAGCAGCACTGTGTGAATGGTTACTATTCCCATCTTATGTTGCTGCTAAATCAGAACGAGAAAGTACTTAAGAAAACTAGTTACAACAGGAAGCGATGCAGTGGGCCGTTTATAAGATGAAAAGAAAATGGGTGTCCCAACAACTGTGCAGGACCTGGTGGACCACCAAAACTGTGCCCATCAGATAAACATTATTTAAAGCTTTCATCTTTGAGAGAGAGGAGAAAATCAAGATCTGCTTTTGCTACAGATCTGAAAATATCTACAGGTGTTTCTGTCCATCCTTCCGCTGTGAGAAGACAACTCAGTGACATGGGTCTGAAAGGATGTGTCGCTGTCAAGAAGCTGTAACTGAGAAAAGGAAATAATCAAAAAGAAAAAAATTTGCAATAGAACACTGAAACAGGAGGAAGGTTCCCTGGACTGGTGAGTCTAAATTTGCATTTGGTATCATGAGAAACAAAAAATGACAACCAACTTCTAAGACTGAACTTTAGAGATGTTTTCTCCAAAAAAACTGAATAAAGGCAAATGTTCTAGTGGAAATGCCACTAGAATGATTACTCTCCATGGTCAGACCCATTTGACCCTACATTAAAAAAGGGGCTCAAGGCATCATTCGCTCTGTACTTCCCTGCTGGCCTGTGCTGTTGTTGAAGACTAACTGTGCACATATTGATCTCTTCTCAGCAGGATGTGGCATGGCCTAGATGGTCAAAGTGGCTTTTGAGGATGCGTCCCAGTTGTGTACCTGTGGTTGGTTGTTGATGGTGGAGGGGACGTCCTGTCAGATTGCTCGTCTTTCGGTTTTGTTGTGAGATGTCAATAGCGCAGTCTATGTTCTGTAAGCTTGAGAGTGTTTTCTGTATCTTTTGTGCTGGACCATAAACAAACTACAGCCATTTTGAACTGTAGACATGTGGTGAAAATCACTGGGTCCTACCAGAGTTCCAGGAACATAGATTTTTTTCATGTTTTGATGAAGAGTGCCGTGTCTGCTTAATCTTTATGCAATGTAGTTGCTGATCTATAAGCAATTTCATGTGTGATTACCATGGAGGGAGGGGGATTGCAATCTTTCTCAATATTTCTCTTTCTAGATCAATATTAGTGAGAAAACTGGCTCTGTGTTAATTATCCATCTGTCTCGCTACAGCAGTGAACTTGTGCGGACATGACGATGCAGAAAAACTAGAGATTGGTTTTGAGGGCAAAGATAAAAGCAGCTGCCTCTTTGATTTTTTTTCCCCAAAAGTTTTTTACATGACTGAACTTAGATCAGGATAAGTAAACAGCACTCGCTTAGAAAAGGGGTTCTTGTACATGTTTGGATGCCAGAAACTTAGAAATAAACATCTGAAATCTATATGTTCAACTTGATAGGTTAGATTTACAAAGGGATATTTAAAGAGCTCATATGCTACATTGTTCTCATAGTCCGCTCATGAAGTTGGTGTAGTTTTATGTCATAGTTCATTTTTTCATGATCATTTGTTTTGGTTACTGTGCCTTTAAGACTGATATATGTAAATGTTTCTGATTGGTTGCCCAGTCCAGGATGAAACGCTCCTTATAACTTCAACATTAATGGGTGGGGCTAAACTGCTTTAGGCTGAATATGCAGATATACAGTGTGTGTATACAGATTTTTGTGACATCACAAAAAATAAATTCAAAACAGGCTGTCTGCAAATGTTAAGTGTTTACACACTTCATCAAACTCTTATTTCAAAGCTTTGAGGGAATGTGGTTTTCCATTATACAGGCTGCCTGTGCATATTTGTTTTTGAAGGGCCCATAACACAGACAAAACCAAGTTTGATGTAGTAAAAAACATTAATAATGACAGACGTTACATGTCTGTACAGTCCACATATAAAAACTAAGCTGCAAAAACACACTCTATTTTGTGTTCATTGTTTTTGTGATGTCACAAAACCCAACACATTTACATATGTCCGTGTTTTCAGCCAGCAGTTTAGCCCCGTCCGTTCACACTGAAGTCATAAGTGTCATCAGTGTTTCAGCCTGGACAGCCTTTTAAACAAGGCACAATCAGGACATCCAGTCAGACCAGAGCTTATTCACATATATCAGTTCAAAGGCTCAGCCTGTTTAATTCTGAGGAATAAATAGAAGCTAAAAAATGGTCACGTGAAAATTAATTATGACAACCACACAGATGTTATAAGGGCATTCTCAGGGGCATGAAATAAAATACACTAAAAATATTGGGTATAAGACCTTTAATGGACTTCACAGTTATGATTATTCTATATACTAAACAAATCAATCTTCATTACCCGGTTGCATGAAACATCTCAAGTGTTTCCCATAAGTTTGAAAGTTAAGGGTCAGTTTTCCCTTTAGGGAATTCCTTATGAGTGTTGCGTAAAATTCTTCAGATGTTTCTTTTAGCAATGGGAAGCACTGAGGGGTTTATAACGTGAGTGACGTTTGGTTGTAGTGAAGTTCCATATTATCCATGACCGCATTCTCTCATTAACGGAACTGACGATTAGCAGGTTACCTAGCTTATACACTCAAAGAAGATGCTTCTTCAGCGGTTCTTTAGTAAAGAAAGTGATTTCTGTATAGAACCATGAACAATCAAAGAATGGTTTGCATGATTAAAGGGTTCTTTGCATCATGAAATGGTTCTTCAGATTGATGGAGAATGTACTGTTGATGGTTCTACATAGGACCTTTTTGAAAAGGGTTCCGCTATTTTTGTGACATCAGCTTGTAACAATAGAAGAACCATTTTCGGTGCTATATATAACTATTTTCTGAAAGCTTCAATATAGAACCATTTATAGCACGTTCTCCATCAATCCAAAGAACCATTCCATGATACAAAGAACCCTTTAATCATGCAGTCTATATATATATATATATATATATAACCATTTTCTGTACTAAAGAACTCTTGAAGAACCATCATTTTTGCAGCTAAAAACTAAAACTGATTCTCCTACAACAGTTTTGATTACACAACAAAGCCAATTCTTTAGCTTCTTATGTTGACTAAGAACTTCAAGGGATCATTTTCCTTACCTTAAATTATACTAAAGCAACTAATAGTTTAGGAACTTTATGCAGTGCTTGAGGGATTATTTAAAGTCAAACGTTAAGGAAAAATGTAAGAGTGTATAATGATTTCATTTATGGAGACCCTTAAGTAATACTCTAAAGGTTTTTTGTGCAGCACACGTAACCTTAGGAAACACTTATGGGTGATCTTAAGGGAAAATCCAACTGAAGGTGTTTTATGCAAGCAGGCACTGATGACTCTGGTGCTCCGTGAGCACATGCAGTGAGTTCTTTTGAGTTCTTCTGTACCCACTCAGTTCTAGTTGTACTCTTTATACATTAGTGTATTTTGTCATTTTGTCACAAGATCGTTAATTAAATCATACTCCACGGTATCTGCAGCTGCAGTTGGTTTTTAATTGGAGTGCAGTGTTTCCACATCAGGGTCAGACAGAACCATGATCCCCCCCATCTGAAGCATGCCACACTGGAGGATGCTTCTAAGGCCTTCTGAAACGCTGTAGCTAATTAGCGCTGATAGGTCATGCTCGGTGCAGGTGGTGGTGAAAGCTGAGGACGACTCGTCTGATGAAGGCTGGAGCCGAGAGCCAGCGTAATGATGTCTGTTCTCAGTAGCCAGTCTTCTAATGCTAGTCTCTGTGGAGCTCTGTTTGCCTACTGACATGTTTTCCTGCTCCGCTAGCAAACAGCATAGCCGTTTTGTTTACACCTAATCGGTTGTTTACCTATAATTAGCTTAGCCATTAATGACTGTCTGCCTTTTCTTTCATTAACTTTGCAGTTTGATTTATATCAATTATATGCTAGAAATTGAGGAAAAGTATGATAATGCTGTAGAAACAATTAGCATTGATAGCTAGCACTGATTGTTCTTGATCATCCAGCCTGTCTCTGCTCTGTTGGGTCTCCTTCTCTTTCTTCTTGATGCTGAAGAGTGGGAAATGTGTAAAGCACTGGGTTCAAAGTGGAGTAAAGGCAAGAGCTCTCTGCTATATTAAAGTACGAGGGCTACAGAAAGGTGATGATGGTAGTCATTTAGCCTGTAATGGATCTGGGAGCGAACTAGCGCCACCAACTTCGAGTGCCACTTGTTTCCATATGTTACACAATTCTAGTTCAGGCTTGGCCTCTTCAGAAAATGACATTCTCCATGCTCATCTTTGTGCTATTTCTTTCTTTATTTATTTAACCCTTAAATCCCAAGCTAAAAAAGACACCTATTTTTGCTGTTTAATGTACTCTGAAGTCTATTGGTCAACTGATTTGGAGTTACAGGCCTTCTGAACTCATAGCCATGCCCACTCCGAGAGCAGTGATCTGCCTAGAACATGGTAAAGCACATTGTACTAAGTGTAGAGAGGATTATGCTAGTATGCCCAACATTATGATCAATGTTAGTCATATTTATTATTGTAATACAATACATT